CAAAACTCAACCTTTAGAGATAACAAATTCCACAAATCTCTTTCAAACTGAAAGAGTAATAAAATGGAAATTAACTTCATACCCATTGTTTGGATATTGCTTCAAGAACATTTCATGAGAAATCCATTGTCTACGACCATGTTGGCAAAACTGGTCCACAATTGCTTCTCGATAGATTAGGGGATGGTATTCCATCAATGGCTTATTTCCATTCACCTTTGTTTTGTGTAGCTTTTTCTCCCCTGTTTTGGCAAAGTGGGTTACAACATTTCAATTCCTGTTAGGGTTCATATTTTCAATCTTGACTTTACCATGGTAAAATGCATTTACTGCTGTTAACATTCTTCTTTGAACCATGTTGTAATTGCTGACAAGTTTATCAATACCAATCTCATGATTGAACTGTTGCTGGATAATTATAATGATTTATGCTAAAACATCACTTAAACTGTTATGAAAAGAACACATTTCTTCTCTTCAATTCTCACTTCCTAATTTGCACTCAGCTGTGCTTCATTAGGGCTACGCCAAAAACTCTTTGCAAGACCATACCTTACAAAATCTCAATTGTCTTACAACCTTTATGGTAAATAAATACTTGCAATGGTTCATTTTCTCTCAGAGAAGCGAGTGCTAGCTGAACTTTATATGGGGGAAGTTTAAGAAACCATACACAGCAAATTATAATTATTTTAGGAGTAAGGATTTTGAGTATTTTCTTCGACAACAAAAGCTGCACTTTTAGTCACTCAAATTGTAATCTTATTTCAAACAAACAAAAAGGATACCAAACACTGTGCAGTCTCAACTGCTTTCGCTATCATTACAAAAGAAACATGTTACCTGCCATGTTGTTCTTGACTGCCCTCTACATTATGGTTAACGTGTACAAACTTTAATATTGATCCTCTCTCTAAATTGAGGTTAACTTGTACAAACTTTAATATTCATCCTCTCTCTAAATTCTGGTTAATTTGTACAAACTTCTATTTTGATCCAATCAGTCACCCAAATTGCAGAACTTCTGCTAATTAAGAATAATTTTGGTAATGCTTATTTTACTCATCCTCATTTTACTACTTTCTGCCTACTTCCTTAAAACTTCTCTTCTTAAAACAGCAGAGAAGCAATGTCCATTCCATTCCAAATCACAACAAAAAACAGGAACATAACTGCACACTCACTTTTCCCTTGCACGAATTGGTACCTGTTTCCAATGTGGTCAACATTTCTCCTCAACTAAGATTTCCATTGAAAGGTGTTCCAAATTTAGTGTCTATGTCGTAGTAATAGTTACAACCAGAAAAGAGAAAATAATGATTTTGTATATCTCACTAAAGCCAAATCTAAATCAACTCCTGGTTTTTCAATGATAACAGGCTAAGCATATCTCATTGACAGACAAGAAAGACAAAAATAGTTACGCAGGAAACAGATGTAGCAAGTGCTATGCTTCAACTACAACTCCTGTGAAGCTAACACATAACACAGGGGAATTTAGGGACTACAATTGTTCTGAAATTGAACACTGTCACAGGGGCTCTAATGTTTTTTCATGCAAATAAAAACAGGTAAAATTTATCTTTCTTCCAGAACTTGCCTTTGCCATTAACATCTTCGTTCTCCTTTTCATCCATTTTCTCTGGACAAAAACTTCAATTTTTAACTAAATAGTATATCCAATAATTATGTCTAAAACCTCGGTAAATAACATTACAATCTTTATAAAACAACAACAACAACAAAACAATTCAGCCAACATTAACACAAAAATATTGTGATTTTGTAATTCACTTTATTGAATTGAGTGCTCCCAACAAGAGCATTAGGAAACTTGCATAGCCTTATAACACATCTCCTGGCTAGTGTGTGGAAATCAGTAAGTACTTCCCATGACAACTGGGTGGCTACTCTGAAATAAAGGGCTTTGTCACATGGTATTATTTATTGCCATCCCCCTTAACAATCCTGGAAGAAAAACACATCTTGCAAACTCACTTCCTGGTCTCAGTAGTTACATCTATGTTAGAACAACTGCAAATCCAAACTATAAAGAGAACATGTTCCACTAGAGAGAAAAGGTTGAATGAAAACATTTATTTACTTTCCAATTTTTGGATAACAAGTACATCTGGAAGATTTTATGGCTCTTTCTATCTCATCAACCTTCCAACAGCATCAAGTAGCAACTCATCCATTTATGAAGGGTTCAACAGCTAACACTCCCATAGAACTCTGATCTGTACATGACAGTGACAGTAAAACCCCTTAACTCAAACTCCCAGGGATTTCAGTTATCAACATTGCTGGTGAATTTTAATTAACCTGTT